CAATCCTATAAGCTCCACCCTGATGACCTCATTTAATCTGAGTTACCTCCCTAAAGTTTCTGTCTTCAGATACAGTTACATTGGAGGTTAGGACTTCATCATGAATTTTGGTGGGACATAATTCAGTCCCAGCAGCTCCCCTGAATTATTTTGGAGTACTTTATCTCTGAGGTTTTAGAAATATCTTATATTGTATTTTATTTTACGATTTCCTTAAGGTATGAAATCATACATTTTTAACCCATTATGAAAAGTTAGTACTTTTTGGGACCAGCAGTTAGCCTAATGCTGGACTCACACGTAGTCGACCGTGGTTCGAGTCCCAGACCCAGTGGCTTAACTCACGCCGGGCGCGTGTGCGTACATGCCCAAGATCCCAGAGGAGAATGGAGGAGAAGGGATTGCAGCGTGGCCATCCCCTCTGGGGGGTGATTTCTCGCTTTCTATCTCTCTGTCTCTCTCTGGCGAGTGCACACACCCTATAGCAATTTAAAAAAAACAGGTTAGTACTTTATGTGTATAGGTACATATGTTTATAGATTATTTTAATATGTTTTTATAGATTCATCCATGACTTTACAAGTCTAAAGGCCACAAATCTCTTTATGCTTCTCTCAAATGACTTTTTCTTTTTATTCCAAGCTATTGTTGTCTTGACCATTTTAATTGTTCAGTTAATGACTTTTTGAAGTGTTTCTAAATCACACTATTGCGATGTGGATTTTGTGCCAGGATAGGCTATGTATTCTGTTTTGTCAGTGACCTCTGATGACCTGAATTTGATGGGCCTTGGCTTCTTGGAGTAGCCCTTCAGTAATAGCTACATTCTTTAACTCTAAATGATTACTAAGTAAATTTTCTCTAGGAGGCTAAGCACATGCATAGGACTATGTGGATGCCCAGTTGTGGTAAATTCTATTATGGCCCATCAAGGGTAGTTATATCCTAATCTCTAGCACCAGTGGAATACATAACCTTACATGGAGGGGGAAAAAAAAGGGCTTGATAAAAAGCAGATGTGATTAAATTAAGGATCTGAAAATGGGAAATTTTACTGAATTATCCGAGTGGACCCTAGTTAATCAAAATGTTCTTAAAAGAGGGAGGCAAAAGGATCAGAGTCAGTAGTAAATATGATAATGGAAACAAGGAGATGGAGCAATATGAGAAAAGGGCCATGCATCAAGAAATGAAGGCATCCTCTAGAAGTTGAAGAAAGGTAAAAGTGAATTCTCTTTTGAAGCACCCAAGGGGAAGGCAGCCCTGCTACTAATACCTTGATTTTATTTATTTTTAAATTACTGTTATTTTAATTGGACAATCATAATTTTATGTACCTATGAGGTACAGTATAATGTTTTGATATATCTATGCAATCTGGGATAATTAAACCAAGTTATTATTAATATAATTAATATATCTATTGTGAACTCACATTACTTTTCTCCCCTTTGTGTGCTGAAGGCGTCCCTCAGGATGCACACAGACCCCTTTCCCAAAGGTAGCAATGACTAGGGAGACTTACTGGTTCAAGGTATCTAAGGATATCTCTGACCAATTATTAGCTAACAGTGAGGCTAACCAGGCAGAGATTTTAGTTCCACACATGATAAAGAATACAGACTTTACTGAATTAGCCCAGGAAAGTGACTGAAACAAAAACCAAACTCTAGAGGGGAGAGTATCTCATTTTTCGGAGTTGTCACATTGCATTATCTTCAAGGTTTAGATTTATTGTTGTTGTTGTTTTAATGTTTTTGCCATAGGGCACATGCAGTTGCCAGAGAGAACATGGAGAAGGAAAGTGAAAAATCACCCCCCAGGGGGATGGCCATGCCATAGTCCTTTCTCCTCTCTTCACTCAGGATTTTGAGTATGCATGCACATCTGCCTAGCATGATTTTCAAGCTGTCGGTTCGTTGCTCGAACTGCGCTCATGTATGGAAATCCACCACCTTTACCACCATGAAACCTGCTGGTCCTTAGATGTCTAGTTTTTTTTTTTTAAATATATGAGACATATAAAAAAACATTCTTAAGTTTATACATAGGGATGAAAAAAATCAGCAAAATGAAACTGTTTCTGAGGAAAGCTAGATATTGGACATATATTTATTCAAAGACTTTAAATCATTTATTTAAATATCTTTGAAGAACTAAAGTATATTATGTTAAAAGAACTAAGAGACAATATAAGATGACTTCTCACCAAGTAGAAGATATCTATAAAGAGATAAACAGTATTAAAAATCTTTAAGTAGAGAGGCCAGCAGGTGGTGTGGTGAGGACTCTGGATTCCCAAGTGGCCAACTCCTATTTGAGTCCCAGACCTGGTGACTTGCTTTATCACTTTTCCTCTTTCTCTCTGGTGAGCACATGTGCTTTATAGCAAATTAAAAAATAATCATAAAAATGAATAAATAAAATAATTCTTTAAAAAAATAAAATAGAAATTCTGGAGTTAAAAAGTACAAGAACTGGGGACCAGCAGATTTCATAATGGTTACATTGCTAGACTCCCACATGGTTGGCCATGGTTCAAGTCCTGGCAGCTTAAAACTTAGGCCCGGCATGTGTGTACGCAAAATCCCGAGAGGATAATGGAGGAAAAGAGTTTGAGGTGTGGCCATCCCTCCTGGGGGGTGATTTTTCATTTTCTGTCTCTCTGTCTCACCAGTGAGCAGATGTACCCTGGTAGCAAAAATATCTCTCAAAAAAAAAGTACATGTGAGAACTTTGCTAGTGGAACTCATCACCAGATGAGAGCTAGCAGAAGAAAAAAATCAGTAAACTTGAAGATAGGTCAATTCAGGTTATCTAGACTGAAGAACAGGGAAAGAATGAAGTAAAATGAAGAGCTCTTCAGATATCTGTGGGCTTTTAAACATTCTTAAAATAATGAGAGTCCTGGAAGGAGAGGAAAGTGAGAGAAAGGGTCATAGAAATTGGATATTTGAAGATATGACAAAGCAACTTCCTAAATTTAATGAAAAATGTACAAATTATTAGAGCTCAGTGAACTCCAAGTAGGATAAAGAAAGAAATCCATACCTATACAACATCATAATGTATCCTGTCAAAAGACAGAAAATGGCCTAGCCATGGTAGCCCAAGTGATAGAGTCCTATGGCAGGGGAGTTGGGGAACCTGGGTTCAGATCCAGAGTTCATCTGAACAACCTAAGCCCATGCCTGTTGTCTCAGATGGATGGGAAACTGGGGAAAAGATCATAAGGTGGTGAAACACTGTCAAGGATACTGATGTCTCTCTCCTGATAAATAAAGTAAACCTTAGAAAAAAATTAAAAAGAGCCAACAAAAGAGTGTTTTTTTTTTTTTTTTTGAGAGGCTTTTGCTATAGGGCACATGCGCTCGCCAGACAGACAGAGAGAGACATAGAGATAGAAATCCACCCCCTGGGGGGATGGCCACACTGCAGTCCTTCCTCCTCCATTCTCCTCTCAGGATCTTAGGCACACACGCACACGCGCCTGGCGTGAGTTTTAAGCCACCGGGTCCAGACCGCAAACCATGTTTGACTTCATGGGAGTCCAGCGACATAGCCATTACACTAACTGCTGGTCCCAAGAGTCTTTTTTTTTTTAAAGAGGTTTTTACTTTAGGGTGCATACACTCACTGAAGAGAGAGACAGAGACAATGAGAGGGAAAGTGAGAAATCACCCTCTGCCCCCGAGAGGGGATGGCAATGCTGCAGTCCCTTCTCCTCCATTCTCTTCCCAGGTTCTTGGGGAACACATGCCTACATGCCTGGTGTATTTCAAGTCACCAGGTTTGAGACTCGAATTATGATTGGCCAGGTGGGAGTCTAGCTATGTATATCCACTATGCCATCTGCTGGTCCCAAACAAAAGGATCTTGAAAGTACTAAGAAACAGTTCATCACACACAAAGGATCCTTAATGAAATTAACAGCTAATTTCTCAGCAGAAACCATAGACACAAAAGGCAAGAGAGTGACATAGTCAAAGTGCTTAAAGAAAAGGACTGTCAACCATAATAATTCTCTATGCAGCAGACTTATTCTCTACGAATGAAGAATTTAAGACATTACCAGATAAATTAAAAAAAAATTATCACCACGTTACCTATCTTACATGAAATATTAAAGGGAATCTTTCAAGTTTAAATTGAAGGACATTAAACAATAGCTTGAGTCCAGAATATGAAGAATAGTCTGAATAAGTAGTACTGGTAATGATAATAAATAAAGGTAAGAACGAATCTATTTTTTTCTTTGCAACAAACTTTTTCAGAAAATTGAGCCAGGACATAGCCACTGTGGCACAAGCACCTTTGTTAATCTCAGGTCGCAATTGCCCTTTCTTGCTTAGACTAGCCAATCTTTCCTGCCTACAGCTTTTGCACATGTTAGTCTTTCTGCCTAGAATACCCTTTCTTACTGCTTGGCTGGCTCCATTCTTCCCTAAGTGTCATCCCCTCACATAGACCTTTTGTGGCCATTCGAACTGAAATAACAAGCCCTTGCCCCATTATCTTCATTTCAGCACTTTTTATTTCCTTAGTATCCCTTGTTGAACTTGATAGGTATTTTCATTTGTTGTTATTGCTTATTTACTCTTTTTTCTCTAAATCTGTTTTCCCTCACGATTTTAGGCAGGAACCATTTTAGTGTGGATCATCATTTCTCTAGTATCTAATGTAGCACCTGTCACATCGTAGTGTTCAAGACACTTTTATCAAGTGACTGACTGAATGAATGGATTAGATCTTTTTGCTAGTTATCCTTGAACACCTAAATGTCTTAATTTAAAATTTTAAGATATTTTTTTTCTACAAAATATATTTTTTAAAATTAAACAAGATTGGTCTTGAAATTAGGCCCTAAATGACTCCATTTTTGATGTTTCACCTCTCTGAAAAAACATTTCACATTATTCAATGTAAGCTTAAAAAAAATCCCACATGTATCCCTTATAATTTTTATTATTGATGAAGAAATGTTTTTGTTCTCCATGCAGAATGATGGCTGTTTTAGTTCTTCGGTTGGAATTCGTTCATTTCATCTCCAAAACTGGAAGCAGAAAGTTAGTCGGACTAAGAAAGCAGAATTCATACGCACAGCAGAAAAATTTAAAAATCAGTAAGTATGTTGCCTTCAAATAATATTACTATTCATTTTATACTATACAATATAAAATTAATTCTATGTCACCTGCCCAATCCCACATTAAGTTATACAATTCGAGTCACTAGCCTGTCACATATAAGGAGAGAATAGAAGTTATGTAATGGACAAATGCTAATACAGCACAAAAGTTACTTATTATAATAGCCTATATGTGTTAAATTCTATTTAATTTATAAATATATAAATTATGTAAATTTATAGTAATGTAAAAACTATAACAACATTAAATATGTAACTGCAGTTATTTCAGTTTTATTTATTTTTACCATTTCGATTCTGTATTTCAAGGGAAACAAAAGAGCTGTCTTTCTAGATTTTGTATATCAAATAAGCAATTGACGTTTTCCCTTTGCAACTCTTGGTAAGCCTTTGGGAAGTATTTTTGAGAGAGTGAACAGGTTTTTCTTTTATAAAAATATATGTATGAAAGTGCTTCATGAACATCTTATGTTTAAATTGCTCTTCTTCTTAATTTTACATACACAAGAAGTTGAGGAGCGTAGAGGATATATATCTTTCCTTAGATTAGATGATTAGTAAATGGCCGATTTAGGGTCACTTACAGGCTGGTGCCAGCCATTCTGAGAGCCATTGTTCTTACTGTCTGGTGCTGTTCTTCAATAAAGCCTGTCTGAGTATGTGGGTGTCATCTCACTGAGGAAAGCTGTGAGTAGTTTTAATGAAGAGTCTGTATCCTTAAGTGACTTTTTTGAAATGGCCATTATATGGGTTTCCCTTTTTTGGTCTCTTGTCCCTCTTGGATACATTATTCACAAATCATAAGGCTAACTGAGGAGTTTCCATTTATTTAAAAACTTTAGTATATATGTATTTTTCTTTAAATAGCAAGTGTTCTTTAAACAACAAGAGAGAGAGACAGAGAAAGAAAGTGAGAAAGCAGGCTGCCAGGTCCAGGACTCAAACCATGGTCAGCCATGTGGGAGTCCAGTGCCCTTAACTACCATGGCACCTGCTGGCCGTGAGAAAATACAATTAAAAAAAAATTATTTCCTAAGTGCATTTTTACCATAGATAGAATTAGACTTTAGCTTACAGGTTTTGGTTTATGTTTTTCTCTAGAGGGACTAATATCCACGAAATGGTTAATATTCACAGGTGTGGCAAACCAGTTTGCTTTATATTATATTTCTGTTTAGTCTTTCCGTAGCAGTTAGAAAATGTTAGAAAAATTTACTGAAAGGGACCAGCAGGTGGCGTGGTGGTTAAGGGACTGGACACTCCCACATGGCTGACCAGGGTTTGAGTCCTGAAGGAGCAAAGATTGCAGCATGGGTATCCATCCTGGGGGGGTGATTTCTCACTTTTCTTCTCACTGTCTCTTTATCTCTAGCCAGTGTGCATGCCCTAAGAAGAAAACTTCTTAGAAAAAGTGTTGAAAAAGGATAATATGAGGGACATATCCTATCCTATTAAGGAATATAAGAGGGATTGATTTATTATTCTCTTCTTTTAGTTATTTCTAACATTTTCATATAAAAACATTATTATAAAAAGTGTTATTGGGCTGGCTTCATACCCTGATGGTTAAGGCTGCTGGACCGCACATTGCCAATCATAGTTTGAGTCCCAGACCCCACAACTTGAGAAATATGCTGGGCCTCATGTGTATATGTGCCTAAATCCCCTGCACTCTGTTTAGGGTGGGGAAATTACTGTGGTCAGTACAAAGGGAAGGAGAGATGGAGGACAAGGGATTGTGACATGTCCATTCCCCATGGGGAATGATTTCTCCATTTCCCCTCTCTCTGTCTCTGTCTGGTTAGTGCACATGCCCTTTAGCCAAGAAAAGAAAAAAAAAAAAAAAAAACCACAAAAACTCTGCTATCTTATAGAGCATTTCCTTTCAGCACCTAGAACATAGTATCACTGTGTTGTATTCCAGTGTATGAATATAACATGATTTATTTAACATGCCCCATATTAATGGACATTTAGATTATAACCAGTCTTATGTTACAAAAATGATCCTGTGATTAATTGTGTTATTCACGTAGGGCCATATTATTTTGCATATAGTGTGAATGTGTCTGTGAGTGTATCTTCAGGATAAATTTAATAGAAGAAAATGATAGGTCAAAGGTATACAATTTTGGAGATATGATAATTATGGAGAAGTAACACACTCCAGACAATTTTCACTTTAACAATGTATTAGAGGACTTGTTTTTCTACAGTTGAAGCAACAGAATATATTCATTAAAGTTGTAATTTTTTTCTGCCAATCTGAAGATGTACAGTGTTATCATAGCATACTATTTATTTATTTATTTATTTATTTGGAGAGGTTTTTGCTATAGGGCGCGTGCACTCGCCAGACAGAGAAACAGAAAGCGAGAAATCACCCTCCGGGGGGGGATGGCCATGCCATAATCCCTTCTCCTGCATTCTCCTCTCTGGATCTTGGACACGCACACACGTGCCCAGCATGAGTTTAAGCCACCGGATCCGGGACACAAACCGCAGTTGACTACATGGGAGTCCAGCGACATAGCCATTATGCTAACTGCTGGTCCCTATTTTTTTTAGGTTTCTGCCATAGGGCACATGTGCTTGCTGGAGAGAGACACAGAGAGGGAAAGTGAGAAATCATCTCCAGGGGGTATGGCCACACAACATTCCCTTCTCCTGGGACTCTGGTCACTCATGCACATGCACCCTGCATGATTTTCAAGTTCCCAGGTTCAGGACTGCAACTATGGTCAGCCATGTGGGAATCTAGCACCTCAACTACCACACTACCCACTGGCCCCTATTGTGGGATAATTTTAATTTGCATTTAACTTGTTAAGAATGAAATTGATTAATTTTTCTTAGGTTTGACAATTTGTTTCTGTTATATTACTGAGTTGTCAGAAAAGTAGTGACGTATTTTTTAATGCAAAAATGTGTCATAACTTTTCCAACAACCCAATAATATGTTTTGAACGTGCTTATAAGTTAATATTTCAATCCAGGATTAGTAACACATACTTAAAGTGATAGCATATCCTGTGTCTATAGTAGACATTTCTATTGATCACAGTAATTTCCCGTACCCCAAACATAGCCTAGATGAGTTTCTCTGTTCTCAGCATAGGACTCTGGTAGCCACCCACAATCCATTAGAGTCACCATGTAGGCCTCAATTCCAGACTCCCCAGCCCAAGACCCCACCTCCTAGACTGTCCTTTCCCAGCAGCAGGCACAAGGTCCACCTATAGGCCTCTGTCCAGCAAGGGATATTGAGGGAGGATCATCTCTGACCCCTGCCTCACTTCCAGACTCCCCAGCCCATGACCCCACCTCCTAGACTGCCCTTTCCTGGCAGCAGGCACAAGGCTTCTGGCTAACACGCGGGCCTCTGCAGGCCTCTGGCTAACACGCAACGCACAACTTTTTTCTTTATTTCTCTCTGTTGTCTTTTATTTTGTCCTCTCCTCTTCATTTTTCCACCCTGCCAGAGGGACTAGACAGGTCTAGAATCAGATATCTGAAATCCCCTAGTAAGGTAAGTGTCTCTGGGATCCTCTCTTGTACTGATCCACCTGTTAGAACGGAAATACTGCTTTTTAGACACCTCAGTAGAGTTCCCCTCTTGAGAGCACATTGGTAAAAAAACACCAGAAGAGAGACTTCAGCAAACATCTATTCCCAGCCAAAAGGAAACACTCTTACTCCTAGTGGGAGAAACATTCCCCCAAGAGGTTTTCAAAAGGGAATACATCTTCCAATGGCTAGAAGTAGAAAAAGAGCCTCAGGTCTGAGTAAACAAGGAAATATGTCTCCCACAAAGGAAAACTCCCCTCCATATGTCATAAATATGGAAGACGTTACCAAAATGGCAGACAAATAATTTAAAACATTCATGGTGACCAAAATCTGTGCGTTGGAACAGAAAAGAGACAACGAACTACAGGAAATTAGGAAGTCCTTCCAGGATATGAAAGAAGAAATGGATACTCTGAGAAAGAATCAGGTGGAACTATTAGAAATAAAGTCTGTAATACAGGAAATCAAAAACTCGCTGGAAAGTATTAGAGCTGATTAGACCATGCTGAAGATCGAATCTCCGATGTAGAAGATAAAACCACTGACCTAGAAAAAAACACCAAAAACGATTCAGAAAATAACAAAAAAACACGATGATCTTATATGAGAAATACTAGACACCATTAGACACCCAAACATCAGAATAATTGGCATCCCAGAAGGTGAAGAAACTAATAGCGGCATGGAAAATCTATTCCATGAAATCCTAGAAGAAAATTTCCCAAGTCTAGAGAGGCTCTCAACCATCCAGACCCAAGAAATACAAAGGACCCCAAATAGAATCAATCCCAGAAGATCTTCCCCAAGGCACATCTTAGCCAGGTTGTCTAAGACCACAGATAAAGACATGATACTAAAACTGGCAAGAGAGAAACGAGAAGTAACTTACAAAGGTCATCCCATCAGGCTAACACCGGACCTCCCATCGGAAACAGTGCAAGCAAGCAAAGAATGGGAAGACATATTGAAAATGTTAAGAGAGAAACAGTTTCAACCGAGACTATTATATCCTGCAAGATTACCCTTCATATGGGAAAAAAAGATTAAAATCTCAGACAAACAAAACCTGAAAGAATTTGCCAACACCAGAGCAGCTCTTCAAGAAACCCTGAAGAAAGTACTGTTCCAGGAAAACTAAAGAATCACCAGACAGAAACAGAGAAATAACAGGCAACTAAGACAATGGCCAACTTACATGTCGATACAGATCCTGTAACATCAATAATAACATTGAATGTTAATGGTTTAAATTCTCCAATCAAGAGACACAGACTGGCTGAATATATAAAACAACAGAAACCCTCTATCTGTTGCCTACAGGAAACCCACCTCATGGAGAAAGACATACATAGACTGAAAGTGGAGGGTTAGAAAAGGTTTTCCATGCAATTAGGAACCAAAAAAGAGCTGGAGTTGCAATACTAATTTCTGACAAAATAGGCTTTAAAACAAAAACCATTCGAAGAGAGAAAGAAGGGCACTATATCGTAGTAAAAGGCTCTATAGATCAAGAAGATAGAACGCTTATAAATATCTATGCGCCCAACACAGGAGCACCCAAATATGTGAAGGAAAGACTGTTAGACCTAAAAGGGGAGATAGACTGCAACACACTAATAGTTGGAGACCTCAACACTGCACTATCCCCTCTGGACAGATCGTCTAGACAAAAAATAGGTAAAGAGATCAAGGATCTAAACAATACCATAAATCAATTGGACTTAGCAGACATCTATAGAACTTTCCACCCAAAACCCGCGAGATATAGTTTTTTCTCACCCCGGCATGGAACCTTCTCTAAGATTGACCACATCATAGGACACAAAGCAAGCTTCTACAGATTCAGAGGTATAGAAACTATATCCAGCATCTTCTCTGACCATGATGGAATTAAACTTGATTTTAATTTCAAGAGAAATCCTCAAAAATACCTAAAAACATGGAAACTAAATAGAGTCACCATGTAGACTGAAATCTTTTGACATCTCTGTACTACCCCTAGCTTTTTTTTCACAAACAACACAAGCTCGCTAAACAAACATACTAAGATAACATTCTATCAACCTTTGGAGTAGCCAGATATGGCCCAGGGCAATCTCTAGTATACCTTAAATATTCATCAATGTTTGTCTTTGTGTGGCAAAGAGAAAATGATTGGGAAACTCTGCCTTAGATGGTGTCCCTCAGGGTGTGTGAAACTAATTCAGTGGTCAGAAATACTCTACCATGGGTTAAATCCAGAGAAATATATTAATTTCTACATCAAGTATTGAGAAAAAATTAATTCCTTTGCTCAAACTAAAAAGTTCTGCAGTTGTATTTTGTTTTGTTCTATTTATTTCTAAATAACAATAAAAATGCCTTACTGGCAGATAGATTAAACTTTATTGACATTTTAGTGAAGAGGGTTCACACCAGGTAAGATTAGTAATATATCTTGGCTGAGGCTTCAAAATTAACATTATCTACTGTGAAAAGCAGTCATCAGCCAGGGTGGCCATTTTGACACCTCATTGAGATTAAGATGGAGTGAATAGCTGAAGGCTTGCATGTTTCAAAGCAAATATATGTCTACATTTTCTTAATGTTTCATAATTTAACAATGCAGATTACAGTTTTAGTTTAACTTAACTATTTTCTAACTACTATTTTGACGACCATTTTGACTCCTTTATTATATTTTTAGTCCTTAGATGAATTAATATAAATATATAAAACTGATTATTCTGAGTATCTTCATATTTTAAACAATTAAATATATTTAAGTTATATTTATACCATTTGTTTCTTTTCCTAAAGAGTTATTAACATAGAAAAAGATAAACACAATCATTTCTACAACCAAAAAAGTGACTTCAGAATTGATCATAGTATGCTGGAAGAATTGGAAAATAAGTTGATTAACAGCAGGAAAACAGAAAGTAAGTTGAGTTTGTGATAAACTAAAAACTGTTGAGTGATGTAAAGTTACAGTTTTGCCCTGTGATTTATCTTGTGTATTGACTGTGTTATATTTTCTATCAAGATGTTTTAGTTAGTAATCAATTTGTCTTTTAGGGACAATATTTATTCTTTCAGGTCACTATGTAGTCATTCTAACTGGATTATTTTCCCTGTATATTTCTTCACTTTAATAGAAAAGAGAGGTTTTGTGTTTCTAGTTGACAAGCCAGTAAATGATATTAAAATTTCTTATAATCAGGGAACCAGCAGTTAGCGTAATGGCTATGTCGCTGGATTCCCACGTAGTCGACCGTGGTTCGCGTCCCGGACCCGGTGGCTTAAAACACACGCCGGGTGCGTGTGCGTGCGTGCCCAAGATCCTGAGAGGAGAATGGAGGAGAAGGGATTGCAGTGTGACCATCCCCTCTGGGGGGTGATTTCTTGCTTTCTGTCTCTCTGTCTCTCTCTGTCTGTCTGGCAAGCGCACACGCCCTGTAGCGAAAACCTCTCAAAAAAAAAAATTTCTTATAATCAGATTGATTCCTGAGCTGTTTGAGCTTGTTCATCACTTGATATTATTGATTGAGCCCTGGACTCAGATCAAAGCCTATACTTAGTTGTTGTTTGAATTGATTAAGTCCCAGAAATTGCTTATGCATGAGTTTTCTTGTCTGTGTTCTACAACCTACCATTGTGGGCTGTCACCATAATGCAGCAGTTAAAACTTGTGCATGGAAACCCAGATCCCAAAGGGCCATCAGTGGTTTAAATCGTGGCTTGACAGCATGAGACCCACACCAGGGCCATGCACGTGTATGCCCAAAATCCTGATAGGATGGAGAAATAGAGGAAAAAAGATTGTGGTTTGGCTGCACCCCATTGGGGTATGCTTTTTTTTTCTTTCTCTCTCTAAGCACATGCTTCCTCTGGCAATAAGAAAATAAAATAAGGTTCCAGAGGTGGCGTGATAGTTAAGGTTATGGACTCCCACATGGCCTACTACAGTTCAAGTCTCAGACCCAGTAGCTTGAAAATCACTTTGGACACATTTGTGTGCATGCCCCAAATCTCAAAAAGAGAATGGAGGAGAAGGGATTGCATGTGACCATGCCCTCAGGAGGTGGTTTCTCACTCCCTCTCTCTGTCTCTCTCTGTCTCCAAGGAGCACATGCACCTTATAGCAAAAAAAAAAAAACCTAAAAATTAATTAATTAATTAATTAAAATCTACTGTTTCTAACTTTGGAGAAGCAACTTTTGCCTTTGATGAGATACCGTATATTAAAGTGCCTTGCAGTTTTTACAGTGAATTTTTTTCTGTCATTTGTTATGAATATTTGTCATTGTCAGCATGTATTAAATGTTAGCCTTAAAAGAATTCTATAAAATACTTTGCTTCATTTTAGAGTTACATTCTACGTGTTGCAAAATTTTTATAATAAAGTTACTTAGCAGTGCTTAACGGAAACATACTTGTCAATGAACTTAGCTTTATAAAATATTAAGACTTATTATGTAAAGATTAGACTATTCATAGTATTCCCTTATCACCAGTTAAAAGAAATTTCTAGTAAATTTTTTCTTTCAGAATATAAGATGACACTATTTTAAAAGTCATCTTTTGTCAAGAAGTGGCAAGAGTCATTCTCCTGCTTCTGTTAGGATGACAGCTGACCCTGCTCATCTGATTAGCAGGAAATAACAGATTTCCAGTTGTCTCTTCCCTTTGATTCATAGAGAAATCTAGACATCCTGATTTAATATTTCTTAGTTTTCCTCAGTTCTTCTGCAGACAACTGAAAGGCTGACCTCTCTCTCGGTCATGCCATTAAGTAGAGTATCCTATTATGTGCATTTTACATCACTTGCAGATTTCTTTTAATGCGATTTTATTTTTTATTTTGGTTTAGGATGCACGCACTCACTGGAGAGACAGAAAGACAGAAAATAAAAAATCAACCCCCAGTGGGGTGGCCACACCACAGTCCCTTCTCCTTGGGATTTTAGGCATGGATGCACATGTGTCCAGTGTGAATTTTAAGCCACTGGGTCTGAGACTTTTTATTTTTTTAAAGTGTTTTTGCTGTAGGGCATGTGCAGTCACCAGAAAGAGAGAGAGAGACAGTGAGAAATCATCCCCTGGGGGGATAGCCATGCCACAATCCCTTCTCCTCTATTCTCCTCTTGGGATGTTGAGCATGAATGCACACATGCCTGGCCTGAGCTTAAGCCACTGAGTCCGGTACTCAAACCGTGGTCGACTACATGGGAGTCCAGTAACATAGCCATTATGCCAACTGCTGGTCCCTGGGTCCAGGACTTGAACCACAGTCAACTACATAAGAATCCAGCCACATAATCATTACACCATCTTTTGACCCCTATTGTTAATCTTTTTATTTCCCTTTGCTCTTCAGTTTTGCCCTTTTTTTTGGTAATACATTATTCTTGTTTTGTCGAGGAGAGGAAGGAATGTATTGTCTTAGAATAAAGATTTAGATGTTTCCTCTACATATATTACAACTCAGAAGTAGTAAATACCTGCTTCATACCTCAAACATGGCTTGGTTTTAGCCTTCAGCGTTTGCATCATACTGGTTTGCACAGCATCAGTTCCAAATGAACAAATGAAATAAAAAACATTATTTGTTCTATAGCAGTATCACTTCAGCTACTCAAATTACAGTAAAAACAAAGCAGAAATTATTTTCCTAATTAACTTAGTGGAGAAGTTTCTTAAACTAAGGTTCCAAGAGTTGGCAAGACTGTGAAATAAATTTAATGTAGTTTCTCCTTTTATGAAACTCCTGAATTTTAATTGAAAAATAGAACAAGCCAACTCACATTACATATTTGAAGATTTATTTTGGATATTAGCACTGACTCCATGCCTGTAGGTAAATTAAAAAAAAAAAATACTTACTGGGAACCAGCAGTTAGCGTAATGGCTATGTTGCTGGACTCCCACATAGTTGACCGTGGTTCGCATCCCAGACCCGGTGGCTTAAAACTCACAACAGGCGCATGTGCGTGTGTGCCCAAGATCCCGAGAGGAGAATGGAGGAGAAGGGATTGTGGCATGACCATCCCCCTGGGGGGTGATTTCTTGCTTTCTGTCTCTATGTCTCTCTCTGTCTGTCTGGTGAGCACACGCGCCCTATAGCGAAAACTTCCCCCCCCCAAAACAAACAAACAAAAATACTTATTTACAATGGCTTTTAAACAGCCTTTGGTGCTGCTTGCTTATTTGTGGAAAAGCTTTAAAATTGAAAAAGAGGAGAGTGCATGAAGTACCCAAAGATAATAAAATAATATTAGTATATGTGAATATATATTTATGAATGTGAATATTTATGGCATTAGCCTAATAGGTTAAGTAAATATTAAGAATGAAGAAAAATCTAGTCCTTCTGTTGCTGATGGAGACCTCCTGAAAATGTCTTTGAGACTCATCTGTTTTTCAAGCCTTTACTGTGGGCCTAACATTTTTCTTCAGGTTGGTCCTTTGCTTGAGCTTGGCAGGTGCCCAAGATCCCGAGAGGAGAATGGAGGAGAAGGGATTGTGGCATGACCATCCCCCTGGGGGGTGATTTCTTGCTTTCTGTCTCTATGTCTCTCTCTGTCTGTCTGGTGAGCACACGCGCCCTATAGCGAAAACTTCCCCCCCCCAAAACAAACAAACAAAAATACTTATTTACAATGGCTTTTAAACAGCCTTTGGTGCTGCTTGCTTATTTGTGGAAAAGCTTTAAAATTGAAAAAGAGGAGAGTGCATGAAGTACCCAAAGATAATAAAATAATATTAGTATATGTGAATATATATTTATGAATGTGAATATTTATGGCATTAGCCTAATAGGTTAAGTAAATATTAAGAATGAAGAAAAATCTAGTCCTTCTGTTGCTGATGGAGACCTCCTGAAAATGTCTTTGAGACTCATCTGTTTTTCAAGCCTTTACTGTGGGCCTAACATTTTTCTTCAGGTTGGTCCTTTGCTTGAGCTTGGCAGGTGGTGGCACAGGTACCACAGAAGGACACCTGAGGCGTCTCCTCAGGGCTGTGACAGTGATACCAGTAGGTATCACCAGTCTATGTCTTAAAACATGTGGTTAGATGAAATTTACTTTCAATGGAAAGGCTGTCAGTGTTCAGAGAATTAATACTAGTTAGACAGTTTTAATGTTCCCACAGTTAAGATTAAATTCTACTTGCATAGATTATAATGAATCGAAAAGAAAAGGAACACTGTTGAAGGACAAAACATGAATAAGTTTAAGCTACTACCCAGTGCATTTAAATCGTTGTCCAAGAATTCAGTCTCCATTGTGGGGGGGAGTTCCTTGTCACAAGGTATAGTAAAATTTCACTCATGATGTTTTTAAATACTTAAGGAATTTTGGGAGATGCTTGATTTGGAGTAGGGGTATTTAAAGTATTTAGGTACTTTGACATCTATCTACCTTTTCTTGTTTACTTGTTCTTGGCTATCCTTTACTAAGTGATCGTGATTGTCTTACGTGTAGAATCATGAATTTTAACCACATTTTCACAGAACTGTTTTAAAGTGTATAGTTATTCTTCATAGGAGCAAAAATCCAGCAGCAACTGGCCAAAATACATAACAGTGTAAAGAAGCTTCAGCATCAGTTAAAAGATGTGAAGCCTACACCTGACTGTAAGTAAATTTAAATGTCATGGTCTTTTGTAGCTATTAATACTTTTTTCATTAGAAAAATTTATACTTTTCTAATATGAAATATGTTTTCCTATTTGGCAATAATGGAGCTAAGCCCTACTTTATTCAGTAAGAATTAATACACTGGAGAATTGTAGTAGCTGGCAATTATGCTTTTTGTTTGTTTACCTTTAAAGTACTCTCAAGGTCTTTTAAATTATGGGGTAGGTAGAACATGTATTAGTGTTATTTATGTGGTAGAGAACAGTTCAGATTCAGCTAATTAAGGAGAATTAGCTGATCCCTTATCCAGTGCTTTTTCCATCATTTGCTTATCTAGATAATTACCTATCAGAGACATTTTAAAATATATAAATTTTTTTTTTTGAGAGGTTTTTGCTATAGGGCATGTGTGCTTGCCAGACAGACAGAGAGAGACAGAGAGACAGAAAGCAGGAAATCACCCCCCAGGGGGGATGGCCACGCCGCAATCCCTTCTCCTCCACTCTCCTCTCGGGATCTTGGGCACGCACGCACACGCTCCCGGCGTGAGCTTAAGCCACCGGGTCCGGGACTTGAACCACGGTCGACTACGTGGGAGTCCAGCGACATAGCCATTACGCTAACTGCTGGTCCCAAAATATATAAATTTTAAAGGTTAAATTATATTGGGGCAAAATATTTTTTGGAAAAAAAGTCACATCCTTACTTCCAGCAATTCATTCCTGAAGAATCAAAGCAATGAAGGACTCAAAATGAATAGACTTAGCAGTCTGACAGAAATTGGGTCAAAGGCTTTCTCTGTCTTTTGTTGGCTACATAGCTTTAGGCAAGGTGCTTGATCTCTGAGCTTTCATTTCCTCAGCTCTAAAACGGAAATAATTACAGTGCCTGTCTCAGAGTTGTTGGCAATTGAAGGGAAATAATGTATATCTATGTGGAGCTTCTAATATAGTAGGCACTAAAAATGGTATATATGAGCATTATAATTATTAAATTAATAAATGAAACTGTGAAACATTAGCAGAGAACACAGGTCAATATTGCCATAAGAGTATTATATTTTATAAGAATGATAAAGACCTGAAATCATAAAGAAAAAAGTGGACATATACGAATACTTTTAAAAGACTTAGGGCTGGGAACCAGCAGTTAATGTAATGGCTATGTCGCTGGACTCCCACATAGTCGACCAAGGTTCGCGTCCCGGACCCGGTGGCTTAAAACTCACGCCGGATGCGTGTGCGTGCGTGCCCAAGATCCTGAGAGGAGAATGGAGGAAAAGGGATTGCAGCGTGACCAACCCCCCTGGGGGGTGATTTCTCGTTTTCTGTCTCTATGTCTCTCTCTCTCTGTCTGGCGAGTGCACGTGCCCTATAGCGAAAACCTCTCAAAAAACAAAAACAAAAACAAACAAACAAAAAACTTAGGGCTAGTGGGACCAGCAGTTAGCGTAATGGCTATGTCGCTGGACTCCCATGTAGTCAACCGTGGTTCACTTCCTGGACCCGGTGGCTTAAAACTCACACTGGGCGCATGTGAATGCGTGCCCAAGATCCCGAGAGGAGAATGGAGAAGGGATTGTGGCGTGGCCATCCCCCCTGGGGGGGGATTTCTCGCTTTCTATCTCTCTGTCTCTCTCTGTCTGTCTGGCGAGCGCACACGCCCTATAGTAAAAAAAATAAAACTTAGGGCTAGTCCTTTAGCACAGTAGTGCATCAAAAGCTGGATCCCATATGATCAACCACAGTTCAAATCCCAGTCTTAGTGTTTTGAAATGCACGTTGAGTGTGTGTGTGGGTGTGGGAGAGGGGGCAAAATCTGACAAGTTCGAAATACAGAGGAAAAAGGGTTGCAGCATTATCATGTTCCACTGGGGAGAGGGGGCTCTTTCTTCTTTCTCTCTTTCGTGCGCCCTCTGGCAATTAAAAAAAAAACAAACACAAAACAGCCTTAAATCCATAAATAAAGTTGAAAGACAAATTAGGGAAGTATTAGCAATATACATGTAATTTTAAAAGTTAATATCGTAATATATAAAAAGTGCCCACAAATTAAAGCAACAAAGATAAATATCCTAATAGAGAATATGGGCAAAGATTATGTATTGTTAGATTGTGTATATTGTTAGGAAAAAAATAAACACAGAAAAAAATATTCAGGGTTATTGATGATTGTACAAATATCAGTTAAATCAGTGATGATAAATTTTTGTTTCTCATTTTGGAAATGGTTAATAGTACTTGACAGGGCAGTACTCTCAGGACTTTTAAGTTAGAACAGTAAGCTTTGAAGTATAATATTACTATGTATAGCGTACTGTAAATAGATACCCTTTTTCGTCTAGCATTTCAAGTTTTATCATTCATCTTCTAAAAATACTTATTTGAGCATGCTGAAATATATTAGGTCATCAGGAAAGTCATGATGCAGTTTTGCATAGAAAAATCCCTACAACCCAACATATGCAAGTGTACTTCCTATAGAATTGTGCATGTTTAAATGTCCATTAATTGGAGAATGTATTAAGTGAATTAAGGTGGACTTAGACAATGAAATAACATACAGAGTTATAAAAAAGAATGACATAGTGTATACATATTAATATGCAAAGTGAACTTTTTTTTCTGTTGTTAGAGATGTTTTGCTATAGGATGCGCGTGTTCACCGGAGAGACAAAGAGACAGAAAGCAAGAAGTCATCCCCTGGGGAGATGGTCATGCCACAATTCCTTCTCTACTCTCCTCCTGGGATTCTGGGCATGCACACATGCATCTGGCGTAAGTATTAAGTCACCAGGTCTAGAACTTGAACCACAGTCAGCTATGTGGAAGTCCGGTGTTTTATCCACAACACCATCTTTTGGCCCCCTAAGTTAACCATTTCTACACATTTTGTTTAATAAAAACTGCAAGGCATAAATAGCATGTGCGCCACAAAATAATTTCTCATAAAAAATATTAATAACAGTACTTAATTATATGGATGCCTAGCAAAATATCTATATTGAGAAAAATAATGCAATCATAAAAATTCACTTTTAAGTAGTTTTCTTATTCCTTGAGCTGAGAAATATGTTAGGAGTTATTTCACTTTTTTGTCTTCATATTTACCTCTTAGTCATAATGAAATATGACATAAGTTAATTTTCTTTTTCTTTTTTTTTTTGCAGTTATTGAAAAGCTCAGAGAAATGATGGAAGAAATTGAAAATGCAATTAACACTTTTAAAGAAGAACAGAGGTTGATGTATGTTTTAAGCTCATTTCAATATAAAATTATTGCCCATTTTTCAGTATGTCTCCTCTAGGTTGTTGTCTATAAAATATTTTATTGCTAAGGATATAATATGATCCTTACACAAAAGTATAAACAAGTCTACTTTTTTTTTCTTTTTTTACTTTTTTTTTGGGGGGGGAGAGGTTTTTGCTATAGGGCGTGTGCGCTTGCCAGACAGAGACAGAGAGAAAGCGAGAAATCACCCCCCAGGGAGATGGCCACGCCACAGTCCCTTCTCCTCCATTCTCCTCTTGGGATCTTGGGCACGCATGCACATGTACCCAGTGTGAGTTTAAGCCACCGGGTCCGGGACTCAAACCGCGGTCGACTATGTGGGAGTCCAGCGACATAGCCATTATGCTAACTGCTGGCCCTGTAAGTCTACTTTTAGAATTTCATTGGCTTCTCATGTTTAAAGTGAATCCCTGAGGAAACCCTTTTAAGCTTTAGCTTTTTAAGTGTTAATTCAAGAATAAGTGCAGGAGACGGCAGGTGGTGTGGTGGTTAAAGGCGCTGGACTCCCACATGGCCGACCGTGGTTCAAGTCCTGAATCTGGTGGCTTGCTTTCTCACTTTCTCTCTCTCTCTCTCTCTCTCTGTCTGATCAAACTGGAAAGTAACAATAATAATAAATAAAGTTAAACTAAAATAATTCTTTAAAAAAAAAATAAGTGCAGAAAATGATGTGAAGTGTCAGAAATTAAATTTGAGGGAAAATGAGTTAATATGGATTGGTTGGTACCTTCTTATTCAAACTTTCTTTTTAACTTTAGATATGAAGAGCTTATTAAAGAGGAGAAAGCAACTAATAATGAATTGAGTGCCATATCAAGAAAAATTGACACATGGGCTTTAGGTAATTCCGAAGCAGAGAAGACTTTCAGAGCAATCTCAAGCAAAGTTCCTATAGACAAAGTAACACCAAATACTCTTCCAGAAGAAGTAGTAGATTTTGAAAATTTCCTTCAACAAACAGGAGGGCGACAAGGGGGCTGGGATGATTATGATCACCAGAACTTTATAAAGGTGAGAAGCAAACATAGAGGGAGGCCATCGTTTATGGGAGAAGTTCTGGAACACCTTCCTGGAAGAACACAGGACGAAGTTCAGCAGCATGAGAAATGGTACCAGAGATTTCTGGCTCTGGAAGAAAAAAAAAAAGAGGTAATAATATAGCTAGTATTCATGATATGTTTTTGTGTCCTAGGCACTGTGCTAAACTTATAACATGCATCATTAACTTCACCACAACCCCTAAAGTACGTTTATTGCTTTTCCCCATCTTTTTTTTTTAGTTCCCTGTATATTCTAATTATCACTCTTTTATCTGAGGAATAGTTTGCAAATATATTCTCCCATTCAGAGGGTTGTCTCTTCGCTCTAATTATTGTTTCTTTTGTTGTGCAGAAGCTTTTTAACCGTAGTCCCACTTATCTATTTGAGGATTATTGCCTGTGCTTTGGGGTCTTATGTAAGAAGTCTTAGCTTATTTCGATGTCTCCAAGAGTTTCTCCTGTGTTTTCCATTAATAGTTTTGAGGTTTTGCATTTAGATCTTTGATCCATTTCAAGTTGATTTCTGTTTATGATGAGAGATAGGGGTCCAGTTTCATTTTTCTGTGGAAGGCTATCCACTTTTTTCCAGCACCATTTACTGAAGAAATTTTCATTTCTGTGGTAGATTATTTCATGCCCTTAGTCAAAAATCAGTTGATGGTATGTTTCGGGGCTTATTTTTGGGTTCTCTATTCTGTTCCATTAGGCTATGTGCCTATTTTTGTGCTAGTACTATGCTGTTTTGATTATCACAACTTTGTAATAATAATTTATTACATTTATAATATATATTATAATAATAATAATAATTTTGAGGTCAAGAAGTGAGAAGTGTCCTACTCCACTCTTCGTGTGGAGTATCGCTTTGATGATAGGGAGCCTTTTATAATTCCAGACAAATTTTATAATTTTTTTAAGGTGTGAGGAATATCTTTGGTAATTTGATTGTAATTACATTCAATTTGTAAATTAATTTGGATAGAATTGATGTTTTATTTATATTAGTTCTTATAATCCAGGAACATGTGATGTCTTTCCACTCTTTTGTGTCATTTTCAATTTGTCTCTTAAAATTTTTTTGTAATTTTCCTTGTAGAGGTCTTTGACTTCTTTGTTTAGGTTTATTCCTAAACATATTATATACTTTTTTTTGGCTATTGTAAATGAAATTGCTTTCTTCAATTCTATCTCAGTCTATTCATCATTGGTGTATAGAAATGCTATAAATTTTTGTGTGCTGATTTTGTATCCTGACACTTTACTGTATTCATTTATCACTTCCAGAAGTGGTTTTGTGGTTTCTGTGTATGTAATCATGTCATCTGCAAATAGAGATCATTTGATTTCTTCTTTTCCCTATTTGACTTCTATTTTATTCTCTTGTCTGGTGCATTGGCTAAGACTTTCAGCACTGTACTGAAAGGAGTGGAGAAAGAGGGTAGCCTTGTCTAGCTCTCATATTTAATGAAAAACTTTTCAACTTGTCTTCATTCAATATGATGTTAGCTGTGGGTTATGTGTTGAGAAGTATCCCTTTTATGCTGATTTTGCTGAGTCTTGATCATAAATGGATGTTGTATTTTATAAAATGCTTTTTCTGCATCAGTTGATATGTTCATATAGTTTTTATCTTTCCTTCTGTTAATGTGATGTATTACCTTTATTGTTTTGCCGCGGTTGAACCACTCTTGCGTTATGTTCTTGTGTGTTTTGTGGTTCAAAGTCATGGTGGCTTATAGAATGAATTTTGGATCTTTAGGAATAATTTAATTAGAATGGGCATTAGCTTTTCTTCAAAAGTTTTCTAGAATTTAGAAGTGATTCCACTGGGACCTGGGCTTTTCTTCCTTTGGAGGCAGTTTATTACTGATTCAATCTCATTGCTCGTCGTTGGTCAATTTAGGCTTTCTATGTCTTGATTTTATCTTGGTAGATTATACGTGTCCAGAAATTTGTCCATCTCATCCAGGTTTTCTTGTTTGTGGGCATACAGTTACTCGTAGTATTCTCTCATAATCTTTTGTATTTGTGTTCTATCCATTGTAAAATTGCCTGTTTCATTGCTGATTTGATTTATCTGGTTCCATTCTCTGTTCTTCTTGATTAGTCTAACTAGTGGTGTGTCGATTTTGTTTATATTCTGAAAGAACCAGCTTTTGGTTTCATTTATTTTCTATATAATTCTTTTATTCTCTATTTTATGTATTCTGTTTGAATCTTTATTATTTCCTTTTTCTTGGTATTTTCGGGGTTTTATTGTTTTTACAGGTCCTCGTGATGCCATCTTTCCAGGGTTTTTTGGTCGTTGTGAGCATTAATTGCTATGAACTTCCCTCGTTACTGTTTTTGCAGTGTCCCATAAGTTATGGAAACGTGTGTGCTTATTATCATTGGTTTCATGTATCTTTTGATTTCAGTTTCTTCAGTGGTTGTGAAATAATTCAGGAATAGGTTGTTTAGTTTCCATGTGTTTGTGTATTTTTGAGGGTTCTTTCTGTAGTTAATATCAAGTTTAATTCCATTGTGGTCAGAAAAGATGCTGGATATGGTTTCTGCACCTTTTAATTTGTAAAGGCTTGTATTGTGCCCAATCATTTGGTTGATATTTGAAAATGTTCCATGTAGGGTGAGAAAAATGTGTATTTCGTGGTTGCTGGGTGAAAAGTCCTATAGATGTTTTCAAGTCCATTTCATTTATGGTATTGTTAAGACCCTATAGCTCTTTGCTTAATTTTTGTCTTGATGGTCTGGCCAGAGGGGACAGTGGGGTATTGAGATCTCAATCAGTTAGTGTGTTGCAGTCTATCTAGTAGTCTTTCACATATTTGAGTGCTCTAGCATTGAGTGCATAGATATGTAAGTGTGTTATCTTCTTGATGAATTAGCCCTTTTAGTACCATATAATGTCCTTCTTTGACTCTTTGGTTTTTGTCTATTTTGTCTAATATCAGTGTTGTGATTCCAGCCTTTTTTTAATTTCCATTTGCATGGAATATCTTTTTCAAGCCCCGTACTTTCAGTCTATATGTGTCTTTATCAGTGTGAGATATGTTTCTTGCAAGCAGCATAAAGAGGGCGCCTATATTTTTCTCCAGTCTGTCTTTTAATTGAAGAATTTAATGTCTTAACATTCAACATTATCAATATTTGTAGACTTGTCCTGGTCATTTTATTAGCCATGTTCTTGGTTATTTTCTATTCTCTTATTTGTTTGTCTCTCTTTAGTTTTCCAGATACAGTACTCCTTTCAGTACTTCTTGAAAAGCTGGTCGGTGTTGGTAAATTTTTTTCAGTTTTTATTTATCTGAGAATGGTTTAATTTTCTCTTCCCATTTAAAGAATAGTTTTGCTGAGCATGGTATTCTTGGTTGAAACTGTTTCTCTTTGAATATTTTGAATATGTCTTATCTTTCCTTGTTTGCATTGTTTCAGTTGAGAGTTCTGACATTAATAACTTGACAGTTCTCTCTTGCCTTTTTTTTTTTTCAAGACATAGAAAGTGAGAAATCACCCCCCAGGGGGGATGGCCCCGCCACAATCCCTTCTACTCTATTCTGCTCTTAGGATCTTGGGCACATACACACACATGCCTGGTGTGACTTTAAGCCACCAGGTTCAGGACTCGAACCGGGATCGACTGCATGGGAGTTCAGTGTCATAACCATTATGCCATCTGTTGGTCCCCTCTCTAACCTTGGCTTTGTCTTTGATTTTGACCAGTCTGGCTATAATGTGCTCTGAGGAGCATCTCCTTATATTTATTCTGTTTAGTGGTCTTTGTATTTCCTAGGTTTGGAGCATTTTCAGCAAGTATTTCATGGAATAGATTTTCTATGCCTGTTACCTTTTGACATACTGATTGTTTGTATATTTGGATATTTTTTGGGGGGGAGGGAGAGATTTTTGCTATAGGGCGTGTGCGCTTGTCAGAAAGAGCGAGACACACAGAAAGCGAGAAATCACTCCCCCAGAGGGGTGGCCACGCCACAGTCCCTTCTCCTCCATTCCCTTCTCGGGATCTTGGACACGCATGCACACGCGCCTGACGCGAGTTTAAGCCACCAGTCTGGGACTTGAACCGTGGTCGGCTATGTGGGAGTCCTGCGACAGCCATTATGCTAACTGCTGGTCCCTATATTTGGATGTTTAATAGTATCTAGTATTTTTCATATTCTGTCCTCATTTTTCTTATTTTCTCTTGGTTTTGTCTAAGGCAGAGGCTTTGTATTCCAGGTCAGAGATTATATCTTATGCATGGCCTACTCTACTGTTGATACCTCTGGGAAGTTTTGATTTTCTCCATTGTGGTCTTCATCTCCAGAAGTTCTGATCAATTCTTTTTTAGGGTGTGTATCTTTTTATGGAATTCTTCCTTTAAGTCATGGAATGATTTACTTATCTCATGGAACTGTTGTCTCTTTTCTCTTGCATCTCATTAGATTTAGTTACAGTAAATATTCCGAATTCTTTGTCCAACATTTCTATAATTCTGGTGTTTAATGCAGTGTTGATGAGTTATGTTGTTCCATTAGGAGAAAGAGTTTTTAAAATTTTCTCATATTTCTTGATATGCTTTGGTTTTTGGGCACCTGGGGAGGTATGTACTTTTTCCTCTTTTTTTTTTTTTCTTTTTGTTTAAGTAGGTTTCTGTAGCTGTTCCCTACAGAGTGTGTTGGCTCTCTGCCCATTTCTCTATTCTTCTATGGGAGGGAGTAATAGAATTCACATTCAGAGTTTGGGGATTTAACTTTGAGGGGAAGAGATTCTCTTCATTGTTCCCTCCAGACGGGGAGGATATAGAATAGTCTCCCCAGAGTCTCAATATCATAGATTGTGTATATCCTCTCTCAAATATTTTTTTCTAGAAGCCATAGAGGTGAGTAATGTAGGCTATGAGGTAGGGGAGGTATGGAAGCTGGTCCAGGGACCAGCAGTTAGCGTAATGGCTGTATCGCTGGACTCCCACGTAGTCGACCGCAGTTTGCATCCCGGACCCGGTGGCTTAAACTCACACTGGGCGCGTGTGTGTACGTGCCCAAGATCCCGAGAGGAGAAAGGAGAAGGGATTGTGGTGTGGCCATCTCCCCTTGGGGGTGATTTCTTGCTTTC